CGGTCCCCATGCTATGATTATATCTTCCTGCATGGCGTAAGGATTATGGCCTACTACCATCCTTGAATCTTGAGTTGGTAACCTTACTCTTGTATCTAACCGTCTTCCTCGACTAACGGAGTTCGAGTTATTCCAATTTGCTGTTTCCTGTATATTACCTGTGCTTTTATCATCTGCTGTGCTTTTTGTTATTAGGCATATTTAAATTTGGCCTTTTTCAGTTCTTGTTACTAAATTGACTTGTAAATATTTGTGTTTCAATATCACTTGTTCATAATGTACAGCTCCTCCCTCAGAACTGTACTCTAGCAGTCAACTAAGTGTATCAGGCTTGCCTTCTTTTGTACCTAAGTGGTAAACAATTCTGAAGTTGAAATCGACTAACCTCTGCACCCAACAGATTTGGCGCCCGTTCCAAACCTTCGAGGTGAGGAAATATTGGAGGTTTTGGTGATTGGTATATACAGTTATTGGTTTCTCGGTTCCCACCAGGTATTGGTGCTATTTATTGAATTCTTCTAATATTGCTAACCATTCTTTGTCATGGATCTCTTAATTCTACTCTGCGGAATTTGATTTCTAGGAGTAAAAAGCTACATGATACAGTCAGTTCTCTATCAATTGGGAGAGAAGGCAGCCTAAAGCAAAGTTGCTAGCATCCGTTTCCACCACTGTTTCGCTTTCTGTACAACGCCAGTAGAAGTTCGTGAATTTTTGGAATATTTGAACCTCCATGACTGACACAGGTAATTTCCAGTTTAATACTGAATCTACTTTTCGGGTACTCACAGATATCCCATTATTGGCTATCATGTAGCCTAAGAATTCCACCTTCTTAACATGGAAGAAATATTTCTTTATTGAAATCACGAGCTGAAAATCTGTCAATTTTTGTAATACTTTTGTTAATCTCTCGCTATATTCCTTCTCATTTTTAGAATCAATGAAAATGTCATCCAAATAATATACAACTCCTTGGTTAAGAAATTCCTGAAAGACCTTATTTATCAAGTCCTGAAATGTAGCCGAGTGCGGGCTAATCTGAAAGGTATTAGTTTGTATTCGTAATGTCTGTGACATGATTGGAAGGCCATTTTCCATTCATCCCCTTCCTTGATTTGGATGAGGTTGTAACCATCTTTCAAAACATTTTTGGACAAGATGCTTGCTCCTGCTACGCAATCACATAATTCTGATATTAGTGGTTGTAGATACTTATTTAGTCTAGTTATCTTGTTTAGATTTCTGTGGTCTACTACCAGTTATAGTCTTCTATCTGGTTTTAGTATAAAGAGAATCAGAGGACCAAAAGGTGATTGACTTCTTGTGATCTTTCCTTGTCATAACATATTGTCAAGGTATGCCTGTAAGAAATTAAGTTGTTTGTCAGATAGGGGATAAATGGGTCCCCAAGAGGATTTTGCTCCTTCAACTAATTTAATTTCATGATAGAAAGTTCTCCCAGGTGCCAGTTGTGCCGTCGTCTGTAGGAGAAATAGTCCTTTGAATTTTCACTAGTACCTTGGGAGAGAATCAAAGTTGATCTGGTTAGGATCTTCTATGATTCCAATTCTTACTACTTAGATCGCATTTTCATGTCAAGTAACTGTATCATCATATTCAAACATATCTGTCATTCCTTAGTTTTCTTCTTTCACACAAGATTTGCATTTAGGATCTCTGAATTCCCACTTTATATGTTCTCCAATGTTGGATAAGGAGTGTTCTGAATGCTACCACCTGAACGGGATTATCATCCCATAATCTCCTGCTGCTGCAATTTCACACCCAACTTCAGACATGTCTTTATGTCATCCTATTTCAAGCTAAATAGTACATGTGTAAAACATTCCACCTGATGGCGTTGGTACTCCATCAAAGCCTTGAATATTGACCAGATTTAGTCTGTCTGTAAACAGAATTCTTAGTTCCTTTGCGAGTTCCTTGTTGAATCAGAACACATTGAATCCTGAATCTAACAGTACTCATAATTTGTAGCATTGATGATTTGGGTTTATATTGTGAATATAAGTATGTCTATCAGGGTAGTTATATTTCTTAGTTGTAGTGTGCTGAAAGTGCGTTTCTATGGGTAAGGTGTCAAATTGTCATTATGTTGTTTCAGCATGCCTGAGGTGTGATAATAACTGGAATGTTTATTACCATCTCTACCCAGTTTCTACCACTTAGGTCTCCTCAGATAAACTCATTTCCTTTTAGTATATTGGGCAGCCTACTACTAGCTGTCTTTACCCCTGCTGAGGGATTCCTATAGCTTCCACTTTTACTACTTGTGGAACCAATCTAGGAGGTTTCTGCTATCATACAAATATCATAGAAACAGAAGCCAGGTGTGTAGAGCTGGTCAGCTGTGCCTTTGATAACCTTCCTGGGCTTATTCTCCACACTGACTTAACTTAGACAGTGTCCTCACTTTATTGGGTTCTGTTTGATACCTGCATAGCACCTAAGAAGCAGTAACTAAAGATATTGTCTAGAGCTCTTGTACTGATTTCTCATATAGATCAAAGATGTGGTTCACTTTTCTTCTAGTTCCTTCATCTTAGCCCTACTGTCACTCTCTTCAGTACCCTTAGTGCTTGTCTGTTTCCTGTTCAGGTTTTAGTCTTTATCAGAGACATTTTAGTTTCCAGGTCAAGTGCCTGAGAGCTTGTGGGAAGTGCCGCTAGACTTCTGTTACTCGTACTTTTGGGGGTGGTTGTGGTGGCTGGAAAAGGGATAACTTATTTGGTACTGTACTCGAGTAGACTACTGGTAAACTTAAGTGATTTTCCTTCTGCAAAAGGAGCTATTATAGATCACTCGCTGGCTGTGAGCAAATGTGCACGGACCAAGTGTTCAACGCTTTCGGCCTGGTGCGTTTTCGTGGGGGCCTCTGACACACGCGATATTGTATTGAAGTTCGTTCCTATTTACACTTTCCCTCCACCAACTCCCTTTTTACTCCTCTCACCCACCCTCCCCCTCCCCTTTCTCACCCACGATATCACTACTTGTACACTCGGTATATAACTTGTCTATATTGTGCTTCAGTCTGAGCTTCCCATAATTTTCTTCGCCCCCTCTCTGTCCTCCATTGTTCTCTCGCCCTCCCTTTGCACTTCATCATAGACTACCGATATTATGTGTGCTCAAGGTTAGGAACTGCTGTTATTCCCCAGTTCACCCCCCCATTCCCGCTACCCGTTCGACAACCGTTCAATTTCTTTAGCCAATTTCGCTCCGAATGTCGAATCCTTCATCGTGGGCCAGATCCTTTCAGCACGCGCAAGCGGGGCCTCAACCTTGGGGCAATCAGCCGGGCCAAGATGCGCAGAACGGTCTCGCTCGGTCATCCCGACTGGACATTCCGAATGTTGTTCGACCCCCTCCTGCACGACAGCCCCCTCCCGATCCGTTTCTTCAGCCATCACACCCCCGAGCTGTTACCGAGAAACCTCTAATCATCGACCTGACCGATTCCAACCCCTCACACTTCCAGCGCGCCCTCATCAATACCGCCAAGATGGATGGTGTTTTTAATATACCACCAGTCACGCCCACTACTATTGAAACCCCTGTCGTTATGGAGCCTGTAAAGCCTTACGATGGCGCGCTGTGTTCTAGGTCTTCGATACAGAATTCGCGAACGAGAAAAAGGCTTAAATTCGCTCCCCAGGCATGCCCTCCCGCCTCACCCCAGTTTATCCAGCCCTCCAAGGTTTATCAAGGGGCCAAGAGCTCTTTAACTCCTCCCGCACTGAGTCGGGGGAACAGTAGCAGCAGACAAAAGCAGATTCAGCCACAACCGTCGAAATCGGATTTTTCAAAACCCAACACCCGTCGAGACAACAAGCCGAAACCTTACCTCTTGGAGGTACCACCCGGAGCGATGATGTTTCCAAGTTCAAGTGAGTGAGACTCCATGCTATATGAAGGGGGGCTTGTGAGCGCTGATGGCGGATTCTAGGATGCTCGGATTTTTTTCCATGGAAAGGGAACCACCCAGAAGATCATGTCACAGATGCTCAGGCCAGGAATGGGCAGTATGACAAGCTGTACGTTGGGAAGGGAAATGTCGGTTTGACCAGTTCGAGCTCCAATCGCGATATGGTACTTATGGCTTTGCAGAATGAGCAGGCGTCGGCGCGGCCCTCTCTGGTTCCCTCACTTAAGGGCAAATCGGCGCTTCCTTCACTCTCCTCGCTATTTCTAACAGTTCTAGATAAACGGCAAAAGTATAATAGGCTTACAACTCCCCCTACGTTCAAGCCACCTCCTCGCGTCACTCTTCCTGATATGAGGCGTGAGGCATGGCTGCGAGACCTGGCGAGTCCATTGGTCCCACTACGTAGGCTTTCCAGGACAATTCCTCATGGATTGAAAGGACCGATACTCCTGGATCAATGCGCTGCGAAATCGATACCAACAGCACGCGCAGTATGGTTTGCTCGCTGTGTAGGTGCTAACGAATTGAGGGGTCTGAAGCGTAAGGGGGTCGGCTCGTTCGCCGTCGGCAGTGAGACCAAATGGCTCAAGGAGTGGACGATCCAGGTAACGCGATTCCTGGAGCGAACGATTTCCGAATGTGGATCCTCTTCGGACTTGTGGAAGCAAAAGATGGTTTATGCGTAGGTTTTTTTTTCTTTTTTTCCTTCCCCTCAGATAACTTGTGGAAGTGCACTTTCTCCAACTCATATTTTCACTTTTAGGGTTCGGCTTTCTGCACATTTATTTGGGGAGAACCTGCTTGATAGAACTTTATTTTTGGAGTGGTATCTCTCATACCTGGAAACGTGTTCCTTGGATATGCTGCCAATAGCCTATTTGATGTTAAGCATATATTGGGATGAACTACTAAAGACCAGGAGGTTGGGACGGCGACTTGCAGAGGCCTTGTTGGGGAAAGCCGAAGCTGTAGGTTCCCTTTAGGTTTCGGGGTAAGCTGGAGTCTGCCGCTAAACGCTTTGTATAGATATTGGCGGCAGAGGATAAGGAAACATATGCCCCGCTTATGCAAAAACTCTCGATTTTATTGACGGTAGGCACTGTTATTGATGAATCATGCTTGCGTCTCTAATTTTTTATACTTCTCCTTTAATAGGATATTCTGTTTTTGCACAGGGAGTCCTTGATAGTCTCGAATAGCTGGGAATCATACCGATCTATATTAGAGGCTTGCGTTGACAGGAGGTGTTCATTTGTGAGATCATGTTTGCAGAACATATCTCAGAGGAACAAGAACCTACTATCTCCAATGCAGGCGAGGCAAAACGACTCTGTCTCATCTGGCCAGAGGAAACTAATAAACATGCTGGACTCAATAGCAATGCTCTACAGCATCGACGAGATATGGGAGAAATGCTGCTCATTAGAAGTTGCAGAGGATCAACTTGTCCGCTGCCTGTGTCAGTGGGCCACCACCTCCCTTCGAGTTGGCAAACATAGGATATATATTGTCGCAGGGCTCTTGGGATGCGCGAGGCGGAGTGGCATAAGTGTTCAGGATCATATGAAAAGCTTCTTGGAAGGGTTTGGAAGTAATGTCAAGGGAAGCAAGGATGACGTGTATCTTCTCGTCTCGGAGCTTGTTCGCTCCAAAACTTTCTCTGTCGCCTTGTACATGAAATGGCTTATCTCGCGAGGTATCCTGTCAGAGTATACGATCACACGGGTATGTATTCATCTATTTTTTTTTTTAAAAAAAAACTTGTGTCCTATGATTGACGTGTTGTGTAGGAGAGTCCTTGTCATGTCCGACTGCTTGCTGAAGTCCCAGTAACATCTGCGCCAAACCATATCCGCAATTTGCGTAGTATTCTGCTCTCGGATCATGGGTTCTCTGTCGAAGACGAGGTGACATCGTTGGAAGTGTCCAAGCGGATCCTTTCCTCGAAAATACCCGCAGTTTTCTACGGCGATCTTCGTGCCGGTGGGTCTGTGGAGAGATTTGCCCCCGAAGAGTTGGCATACTTTGGCAGGCTGAACCGGGCGGTCATGTACGAGCTAGGGCTTTGGATCCGGGAGAGTGTCCGGAAGCATGTTGTTAAGGGTGCACCGTAGGTCTTTGTCGAGTCCTTGGGCATTTGGGAGTAGGCTGACGGTGGGGTTGGTTAGTGTTGGTCGGGATAACTGGAGAGATCTTTCGGTTGAAGTTGGTATTACTGCTGTTAGGACTGAGGAGTTTGTCATGATTCGGCAGTTACTCGAGATTTTCAAGGATTTTCTGATTTTGGCTGAGGTTTGTTTCTCTCCTTTCCTCTTTACCATGTGTGCTTAATGGTGCGTTTAGGTTGTGAGAATGGTTACTAGCTCCGACAGCTCAGCTACTCTATCATCTGCAGCTGATACCGTGAGCTACAATATCGAAGTGTTCAGCTCCCTGGGCGCTGTAAAAGATAACTTGCAGCTACTTTACAATAGGGTGAGTGTGTTAATACCAAAATTGTATGAAAGGTTCTTAATGTTATAACTTCGCTAACACGCTTGGATCAAATAGTATAAAAAGCTACGAATGCGTCGAACATTGGAAAAGTACGTGCTAGTTTCATTGGTCGACTTGGCGTCATTTCCCGAAGCGCAAGCAGAAATTCGTCGAGAACTGGAGACCGAGCTGGCAAACTATGATAAACGCTTTCCTCGGGCATCAGTAGCATATTCCCCAGTATCAGAGAATATGGGCGACATGTTTGAGCATGGAACAGCTGATAGCAATGAGGAGATTGATCGACTGTTGCGGAACGGGGCTACCATCGACAAGCACAACCTCTCAAGGCTTTTCGAGACTATAGTTTCAAGGATGGAGACTTCGTTTGATGACAGGGAGAGTGTGGGAGCGCTGTCTTCTTCCGCAGCATACTTGATTAAGCTGAGACAGTTTGATCCTCTGGTTTTTGACGATCTGATGTGTGGGTGGGTGACGAGGTTGTTGCAGTCTTCTAGCAGGCCGCCGTTGCTGCAAACTCTATCTGTGCTTGTGGCTGGGTCTTGCCTGCAGCTCGATGTGATTGTTCAGGCAACATTGTCAGTTCTGAGGCCCCAAGCTAAGGTAAAACCTGATACTCCCAGAAATAGGAGTTTATTGTCTGACTAGGGGCAGATTTCGAATCCAGCTACTTCTGAGATTGCTGCTCAGACCCTGGATATTCTTGTCAACGATGGTACGAATGGGCTAAGTCTTTCACCATTGGAACTGTATAGCTTGAAGCGGAAGCGGAAGCTCTTTGCGTTGAAGTTTGTAGACAAGTTTGTCCAGTTGATACGTCTGTCGATTCAGATCTGTGCAGCGGCCTCCAATCCGGAAACCAAGAACCGCGTACGGGAGCTGATCCTATCGCCACCAGTTCTGGAGTTTCTCCGTGGCCTCGCAACAGCACAACCTGATACTCTTATATCCGATATCGTGGAGCCTCTATCTAAAACTGGAGAAACGTCACTGCTGCAATGGCTTCGTGTGCTGATAGACCATTTATTGGACGATCAGGAGAATGGTGGGTTATTCCCTCCCCACCCACCTCCCGAACCAGTGGCAGCAGTAGCTTACATCGGCCTAGACAATACAGACCTAGACCCCGAGGTTCAGGTGGCTCATCTTATTCAGTATGCCAATGATTTCTCCATCGGGTTATGCCAATTGAAAATGCGGATTATATTTGATGCGGAGAACAAAAGTACCTCGTCCTTCAGGCCAAGCGGTGATCATACGGGAGGTAGCGAAAACCCACTTATGAAGCCATTCTTTCAGGGCATTGCCTCCACATTCAAGGACCGGGTTACTATATGGACTGACCTGGTCTCGGTGCTGAATCAGGAGTGTGCTTATCAGGTATTCCACACACACATGTTGTGTAATTTCGTTTTCGATGCTAAATTATTGGTACAGATTCGCGGGTATGCCGAGGAGTTGGTGCTAAACTCTCCCACCTTCCCGCCTGTTCGGCTATGTCTTGGTCCGCTAGAACCGTCACTCGCGGAGGGTCGTGAGAGCGGGGAGACGCTTGCCCGAGCTCTACTTTCCGTGATTGAAGCCACTGCGTACAGCATTCCCAAGCAAGGCATCGCCTCAATCGCTACTCTGCTGGTGGACAAGCTAAATATGATTATCCAGTCCATCACCCTGCAGGAAGACGAATTGGAGAAGGCTGAGCATGTCGCTGTACCAGAGGTGTTTTGGAACGACTCACTTACGGAATCTAGGTGCTGGTATGTTTACCTCTTTTAAGCAAGGTTGATGCGTGATGGGGATGATTAATTGGGTATTTCGATAGGCTCCTGTTATTCCTCCGTATGGTTGTGTTACATCGTGCGGCATTTACCAACTCGAAATCTGGAGCTTCGGATCAGGGTCGGTTGGTCGTTGGACTGTGCACTTTACTTCAGGTATTCTACCCCCCGATCGCTATCGCCGTTACCAGAGCCTTTGCTGATGGCGATAATCCTTAGCACGAATTCATCCAACAAGACGAAGGCCTATTCAATTTCGTCTTTGATGTAACCAGTAGCTTTATCGATGGTACTTCACCCCCTCCCCCTCCTCTCCCATCTCTCCCTCTTCACAATAGCCTCCTAACACATACTTGATAGACCTAACAGAAGACACCCGCCTCCAAATCCGCCGCTATGCAAAAGCCAAACGCCCAACTCCGCGGATGACATACCTGATCGGTGGAGGAGAAGCCTCAGGCTCCACCCTGAAGGCCACCCAGCGCGGGAAATTGGTCGACTTCCCCGTCAAGCCCTGGGAGCGCCTTGCTGAGCCGTCGCCTGTCATCGGGGAGAACGACACGAGCATTAGCCTTACGCTGTTTTGCACGAGGAAGATTAGGTGTGCAAGGGGGGATGGGGGCTGTTAGGGTAGAAAGAAGAAAGAAAGAAAGAAAGGGATTGTATATGCTGGCGGGGGGTTTAGGGGGTTTTTTTATATTTTTTTTTATATCTAAAGATTATGAGACTTTGATTGGGTGGGTTATTGGACTTGTGTTGTATTATATATAGTTGGGCTTTTTTCTTGTACCCCGTGTGTCGGTTGTTGGTTGAGATATTAGCGGGGGATTAATAACTCCGGTTTTCTATGGTGGTATCTGGCACTCGGGCGCTTGGGGCTCATGATGGATGAGGCTTCGATTGTTTAGCGCTGTAGTGTGCGGCCGTGTCTATTAAATACGTATACCCCTTGAAAACACAGAATCATACCAAAATTTAATGACAATCATGTTAACAAAATGTGGGCATAGGAAGTCCAATTAAAAGAGTATAATAATATATTATAAAATTATATTATTATTTTCATATAAAAAAAGCCAAAAAAACAGTTTATCAATATATCATAGTAGATAATCTATACCGATGCAAGTCATTTCCGGAGGCATTTAGTCTAATTCCAATAACCGAGGATTTAATAGCACTGTACCATAGTAAATTGGATACGAATAAAAATAAAATGAAAGCTGCTCGTCTGACGATTTTGGCAAAAATTCCATTTTTACATATCCCAAGTATCATAATATTATAACGACTGCTACTTCTACACTGCTAAACATAGACAGACTATTCCAGACATGAGGGGGGACTCAGGAACCTTCACATATTTGCAACGATTTGTGAGTGAGAGTCGCCACGGTCCTGATATCGGTCGGTGAATGGAGGTTATCGGATTTGCGAACGCGGAGAGAGTACTGGGCATCGTAGTTTACTATTAAATATTCAAGGAAGATTTTTTTTTTTTATCTATCGTACAGATTTTAATAATATTATCATACTGCGCAGTGCTGTTTCGGATGCCCATGGCGGGGGTCTGGGGTTTAACTTGAATGGTTTCGGGTTGTACTGGAGACTGCTAAATTGTACGAGTACTGTACTGTATGATACCCTAAGTCTTCTACTCTTCCGTCTGGTGTCTACTCGGGAAATCGAGAGATTTAGCAGAACGTTATGATAAATGTTCCCAATTACCGTCCTTCCAACTGTTAGATTAATTTCCTTCGCGCTAGCAGAGCACTGTACTAGCGTCCTCACCCAGCGCTCTGTCATCCGCCCTTGGTTAGTGCTCAGATTAGGTAAGCGGCACCGCAATTTACCATACTCGCCCGGCGGCCTATCCCCCCCAGAATTAAATTTAGTTCAAGGTTAACGTTGCCTGATGGATTGATGGATAAAATGTCAATTTGGTGTGATTCCGGGATCGCACTGTGCGATGGGCCAGGCTTGGGTGCCTGCGAGTAGACTAAATGGGAGCTTGGTCTTCCATTGTGCGGGGATCTTAGTGTGGGTTTTAGTTTGTGTGGAGAGCTAAGGCCAGTCCCCTGTACTCTCGGGATCATGGCGAATAGGCTTTACGGGCGCATTGGCTCTGGACAGATGTATTGCGGGCTCTGGGGGGTGGATTCAGATTATTAAGTTTGTCAGTCAGTTGGGCGGGCAGGAATTAGGGCGATCACATGATATCACTCGGCGTCAAATGAAAGGAATGAAGTGTAGTAGAGGATGGAAAACTTCAATTGAGTGATGACCGCCACTTCAACTAGTACACATGCTTAGTGCCCCCCCTCCCCTTAAACATATGGTACACACAGGAAGTTTTGGCCCCCTCGGTCAATGGCGCTTCTGGCATTTAGACTGTGTGAAAGTCTCCCTTTCCTCCCATACCCCTGCCTCTTCCATAAGCCTTTGTGCCGGTTGAAGGGCTCTGTACCAGGTGGTATCTTTTAGGGACTCGGTGTTGGAAATTACGTTATTCCTTTCCTATCCGGTGATGGGGCTGTGTTAGTCATGTGACACAGCCACATGACCGAGTATATATGCTATTGTATTCTAGCATCTTCTATTGTATTCTAGCATCTCCTAGAGATTTCCTTGGTATGAGGCAGTGCTCGTGTAACGATAAATGGGTATATAAAGGGCAGTTTCAGCCCTGTTCTTAGAGAGAGCGCGCAAGCTTAGATTAATCTTTAAGTCTTCAGATTTTATTGTGGTTATCATTGTTACTTCGTTATCACAACAGTTAGTACAATAGATACAAATATTTTCACTCGGTAACGTATGCTTCGAGTTCGCATAAACAGAAGGTGATAGGATCCTCGGGATCCATGCCTTCAGGGAGATCATTGCCGAAGATATCACATAGCGCGATCTGAAATTCCGGTGGTCCAGTAGAATAGGTAGCGGGTACTGGGAAAACTGTCAAATTAAAAGATTCAACGATATCTTTATAATCCTCGGAGGCGCGAAACAAGTGCAAGGTGGCCGTTAGCTCTCCAATTAAGGGCTTTTGCAGCTTGGCTTGCTGATTGAGCTGCTCTAAAATTTGTGCCGAATCTGTTTGGCAGGTTGATTGGTCTATACTGTCGATCGCGGTTTGTTCTTCGGTATTGCTGCTCCCATCGGTGGTGTCGTTCTCTGACTGAGACTCTCCGACCTGGTCACCCCTTGATTAAGTTTCGACAAAGGACAGAACAATGACAATTTTGGTCTACCCTTTGGTACAGAGAAGCCATAGACGTGTATCCTCCATGAGATTCTCCCAGCCCTCCGTCCATCCAGTCTCACAAACAATCGCAGGAAATCTCGAGCCGTTCAACTTGGCAAAGGCATCTGGAATTTTTGAAGATGCACCGCTCCAACCGCCTTGGAAACCTCGAAATGCTGAACAGTTAGCCAGATTCTCAAGGGGATTTGCTTATTACATACAAGTGCCTGTGCCAACAGAAAACAACTGACTCGTTTTTAGTGATCCAATTTTTCCGACAAGAAAGGAAGAGAAAGTATGATTGAAAAAATAGTGGAGGGAGTCGTGGGTTGCCGTTGACATGCATTTTATAATAAGCCACTCGGAAAGGGAGTTGTACTCATAACGGATATGCTTGTTATCTTCAAGTTCCGGGTTTTCAAAGGTCCAGTTTTGGAAGTCCTTGATTGGGACGTGTTCTAAACACAGGTCATTATCCTATATTTGGAGCACTCTAATATTCTCGGCTACTGCAGTTCTCGGAGGGTAAAGGCGGGTTTCATCGAGAAAGCGTTGACCCCGGAGTTGGAAATGCCAAAACCGGTAGTGTCCGACGGCCTGTTCAGAAGAATAGGAAGTTCACCGAAGGTGATGCGGGTGGAACTGGTGGGGGGAATTGAGATTGGTTTGTGGGGGGGGTAGAATAACGGAGTTGAGAGTTGGAAGAGGCGTGGGAATTGTCAGTGGTGAACTGACCTTTCTTTTTTTCGGGGGGTGGAGGTTTCCCAGGGTTTTGTGGGGTGGGGGGTGTGCTGTTTTTGGTGTGGATACCAGTCGGACTCGACTCTCCAATGTGGGTGTGTGGACTCGGTAGGCATCAGTGCTCCCAGTCGTCCAGTCTGACTGCCGTCGACGGCCATCGGACGATGACTGGATGGGACGACAAGGACGAGGACGAGTGCCGTCCGACGGCCATCAACTAAAATTGGTCAATGCACCCAATGTCACCCAGTAAGACACAGAGAGTGCTACTATAAGTTAAACCAAAAATAAGGTAAAACAAATAAAAATTTTAATGGGGAAATATGGCACCCATAAAAGGAAAGCCAGGACTAGTGCCATCCGACCACCGTCGCCCCGTCCAGTCCGTCCAAAGACGAGACATTGTCGTCCTCCATCGTCCTGACCCCATCTAGGACGGACTGGACAACTGGAAGCGCTGGTAGGCATCATAGAGGGATGAAATGCTGCCACCTCCAGTGGGAATAGGCTCTCGGTTACCCGAACCTAGTGGGATTTTATTAGACCACATGCTTCAAGTAAAATTGATGGGTAAGAGGATTCTAAAACGATAGCAGAATGAGGAGGATTAAGGGACGGCTAGGGGATGATAGAAAAGGAGGCGAGAAGAGAGGAATAGCAAAGGAGGAAGCGAGAACAGGAAGATGAGAGAGATGGATGAGAGCGAGGGTATTATCTTACTCATATACGCAAGCATTTTAGAGATGACGGATTTTTCGTCATCTTCCTAAACCTCTCAAGCGCCACTGCCTTCCTCTCCGCCTCACCATCATCCTTAGACTCGACCTCAATCACCCGCCTTTTTTCCAACTTCTTTATGATGGAGTAGAATTTACACCACTTCATCATATCCGTTCTGAGAGGCATCCAATAGTGGTGTCTGGCCCTCATTATGTGGCGCGTTGCAGTTGACTTCCTCGGGTCCGGGCAATATTTTAAAAAATGGCATAGTCATGTATTATCACTCACTTAGTGCA